AGCCGCTTCACACTCGGCTGCAAACTGTCCCAGTGAGAGCCGAAGGTCACGGTCCAATGAAGCCAACAGAACCACATCATCTGCAAAAAGCAGAGACCTAATCCTGAGGTCACCAAACCGGACACCCTCAACGCCCTGGCTGCGCCTAGAAATTCTGTCCATAAAGGTTATGAACAGAATCGGTGACAAAGGGCAACCCTGACGGAGTCCAACCCTCACCGGAAACGAGTCCGACTTATTGCCGACCATGCGGACCAAGCTCTGGCACCGGTCATACAGGGACCAAACAGTCCTTATAAGGAAGCCCGGCACCCCATACTCCCAGAGCACCCCCCACAGGACTCCCCGAGGGACACGGTCGAATGCCTTCTCCAAGTCCACAAAACACATGTAGACTGGTTGGGCAAACTCCCATGAACCCTCCAAGACCCTGCTGAGAGTATAGAGCTGGTCCACTGTTCCACGGCCAAGGCGAAAACCACACAGCTCCTCCTGAATCCGAGGTTCGACAATCCAGCGTACCCTCCTCTCCAGAACCCCCGAATAGACCTTACCAGGGAGACTGAGGAGTGTGAAGAGGGGGACCACCACCCCGGTCTGCCAGTCCAGAGACACTGCCCCCTATGTCAACGCGATGCTATAGATGCATGTTAACCAGGACAGCCCCACAGCATCCAGATCCTTAAGTAACTCCAGGTGGATCTCATCCACCCCCGGAGCCTGGCCACCGAGGAGCTTTTTAACCACCTCAGCAACCTCCACCCCAGAGATGGGGGAGTCCACACCCAAGTCCCCAGACTCTGCTTCCTCATTAGAAGGTGTGTTGGTGGGATTGAGGAGGTCTTCGAAGTACTCCTTCCACCGACCCAAAACGTCCTGAGCTTAGGTCAGCAGTGCCCCATCCCCACCATGAACAGTGTTGATGCTGCACCGCTTTCCCACCCTGAGACACAATATAAATCAATCAAAAAATGTTTAATAAACAGAGGTATGAGGCCACTGTATATTTACACTCAAGACAACTATTTTCAGTGGAATGACGTCATGTTTCACTCACTGTTGCCTGACATCGTCATGCCTCTGTTTGTGGGGAGTTTGCATGTTCTCCACATGTTTGTGTAGGTTTCCACCCATAACCTGTAAACATGTGGTCTCTGTGCAGATTCCTGATGCATTGCACCCCTGCACTGGATAAGCAGTAGGATGAATGGATGGATTAAAATTCCAAATGCGTGTTTTCTTTATTTGCATTAGGTCATTTTAAAAAAAATATTGCATGGAGTTCCATTGAAGATTAATCATATTAAGACATTTTATTAGATGGGAAGTATTAGATCTTCAGCACTATTTTTGTGAGGCCGTGAGTTCCTTGTGACTTTAGTCTGAAACAGAAGTTGGAGTTTCAGGTTATATGTAGCTGGGGCAGCCAGCTTTGCTCGGGACTCAAACCCGTCACTCCCATAAAACTCTGGCTGCCTGAGTTTTCCTTCCTCCTTTATTGGGTTATTTTTGTCTGCTGGTCTGACTCAGGATCTGCCTTTTCTTTGCTGGCATCTTGTTTCCTAGTTAAGAGATTCGCTTGGTCAGAGTCTTGCATGCATGGTAGGGTGGCCCTTATTTTTGAAGTATTGAAAACTCTTCCTCCGACCCAGTTATATGTTTCCAAATAATAAAAAAAAAATTCTGGTAAAGTTTGAGGGCAATATACCAATTGTAACAGGTTGCTCAATGGTCAGCTAATCAGTGCTATATGACAAATAGGCCGTGTTAACCACTATAGTCACAATAATGACA